ATTTTTTTTATACAGACAGGGACTTGCTGTGTTGTGCAGGCTGGTCTTGAACTCCTAGCCTCAAGCCATCCTCCCACCTTGGCCCCCCAAAGTGCTGAGATTACAGGCATGAGACACTGTGTCTGGCCCACATTATTTATCTTTAAACCTCAGTTTCTCTGCCTGTAAAATGGAGATCATGGTAGTGTACTTCCAATGATTATTAGAAATCAAAATGATTTCATCCTTTGAAGGGCTTTAACTGTAAGTGCCTGACACAGAGTGAATGTTTAATGAACATCAATTACTAGTACAACTGTCTTCAGAAAGGTTTGTTCTGGAAGCAGCATAGGAGAGTGCTTTTACAGTTGAATCCCTTTCAGTATTGAGCATGTGTGTGTGCCAGCTTGATAACTTTGCCTCCTTGTTGATGAAATCATGGTATTTAAAAGTTTTGATTTGCATGTTTAATCATTAGTGAGGTCGTATATTTTTCATGAGTCTATCAACGTTTTCTATTCCTTGTTGTGTAAATTGTTCTGTGTTCTTTGCTCATCTTATTCTAGTGGGAATCAATGTCCTTGCTGACTTGTAAAAGACTTTGTTGATCTTGTTTGCATTCTTCTTGCCTCTCCAGGGCAAGCCCCAGGCCCCTGGGTCAGCCAATTTGGCCTCAGAAGGGTGGGCCAGCAAGGAGATGAATGCAGATTCTTTTCTCACTCAAACTCCCATTCTCTTTCCCTTTCTTGTCCTTCCTTTTCCCCTCCACTAAGTCACCTTCCACCACCCTTCCCAGGGACCTGGGGTAAGCTGAGAAGCAGGATGGTGAGAAAGCACTCACAGGGGTGTCTTTTTTCCGCCAGGCCAGACCCATGGGGGGCCTCCCCGCAGCACCCTGTGCCAGGGTGGGTCTGACAGCAGCCTGTCTACATCATGGCTACAGATCCAATCACAGGAGCCTGTAGATGGGTGTGGAAAGCCAGCTCATGTTCACAGCTGCAGTTCCAAAGCAGAATGAACAAATAAGGGAACTGTGCTCTCTTTCCATGCTTTTTCCCAAACTGACCTTTCTGCAGAATTCAAGTGCATTTGTGAACAAAAGTGTGCTGGCTCGAATTTTATGTCTTATTACTCCTGGCTGTGGGAAGACTTGTTTTAAAAGAAACACAGGTTGGAGAGTATAAATAAACTGATAGGTAAAATGTGGCTCAACGTGTGCTAGGCATTCCATATAATTCTCAGAGGAGGGCTGTGAGGTAGGGGTCATCCCCATTCCACTCGGGGCTTCAGGGACCTGCCTTGGTCCCACAACTTGTCACACCCTTTCTGGATGCAGGCGTTTTCCAACCTCATGTCTCCCTCCAGATGGTTCCCGTGTATCCCATTCTCCCATAAACACAGCCTTTTCCTGTCCATAGAGATTCTCCTTGCGAAGAGGCAGGAACCTGTGGTGGGGAAGGGTACTTCCAAGGAGAGGTGGGGTAGAGTTTACAAAACCTTCGATGAGATTCCGGTATGTTCCTGTTGTTGGAGTCGGGGTAGTCACCCTTTTTCCAGAGATATCCTCTGTTTCTGCTTTATATCATGTTGTGTGAAACATGTTAATTATTGGTTTTTCCAAAGATTACTTTTAGCTTCTCATCATGGCTACAGATCCAATCACAGGAGCTCAACAGGGGTTAAATGTGTTAATATTTTTTATGACAATATTATAGTAGATAACATTAAATAAAGTCATACCACATTTTATTACTGATGCTGTGTCATTTCTCTAAAGCACACTGACACTGTGTGTGTAGCCCAAGTACCAGGCACACATACCATGGGTGCACACATGTACATGAGAATAGGAGGGGGCACACATGGAAGGGGAAGTGCATTAAGGGGAACCTTCAGCTTTTAAAGATGTTCTTGGGAGAGGCTCCATGCTCCCCATTGAAACAGAATGCCTCTGCTCTAGCACACAGATGGCAGAAGGTGTAAGTCCCCCAAGGTGGCTTCTGGAATTTGGGATCCCTTTGAAGGAGGCTGTTTCTTCCCACCCAGTGCAGCCCTTTGCAGAGGGATGGGGAAGAGGAGAGCTCGCTGCAAACCCCAGTCACAGTGATCT